TTTGATCTCTCATTTCCTTTTTAATACTTTTTAATTCAGATGCTTGATCACTTCTTTTCAAATACTCATTAATTTGTTTTCTATGTTCTTTATATGCAACACTGAGTTGTTTTTTTTTATTTTCATTATAAATACATGCTTTTAAATTATTTATATTTAACTGTTTTGAACAAGAGCGTCTAGATAGCATTTTTGTAAAATTAAAAGATGTGGATTATAAACTTAAAGAAAATTAGATACTATTATATAGAAATATTAATATTAATATAATAAATAGATTTGTGCTATTATAGTGCAAACTTATTTTGTTGTTAATATACTTTCAAAGCATCCTAATTAATGAGTTTTGATTAATAATAACCATAAATATAGTTATATGATTTCAAGAATTTTAATTGTTATTAAAAAAAATTTTTAAAGTTATATAATAAACAAAAAATTACAAATATTATTGAACAAAAGCCAATTGCCCAAACTATAATAGTTTATTTGTGTATTTTAAAAAATTGATGCTTGAACAAAAGCCAATTACCCAAACCATAGTAGTCTAATTCATGTATTTTAAAAAATTGATACTTAAAAATACAAACAAAAGCGCAATTATCCAAACAATAATAGTTTAAATTCAATCAATTAATACTTGAAACTTAAATTACCAAAACCATAATAATAAAAGTTTGATGACAAAGTAATGTTTCAATTAGATATCAAAAACTCATTATTCATGTATACAATCGTACATTTGAAATAAATATTTAATTGTTAATAAACAAAAGCAAAATAATAATAAGCTGATTAGAGTTTAATCAAATTTACCCATCTTGTTAGCTGAATTAAAATTATTGACTAAGTTTAGTTATTGTCTCTTTTATAATTTGATTAGATAGTTCAGTTATTGTCTCTTTTATAAATTGATTAGATGGTTCGTTCATTGTCTTCTTTGATTATTTAACAATTAGTTGCTTATTGTCTTCTATTGTCTTTTTTGATTATTTGATCAGTTAGTTATTTATTGTCTTTCAGCTTAAAATACTAATTTGAAATACAAAGTAATTTTAAATAAATATTTAAACATTGACATATTTGTTTTGCTAAAATAGATTAATAAAAAGTGATATAATATTAATATTTTAATTTGTACTATAATACATAAACTATAATATAATTAAATACTTAAAAAACTATTAGTTATTTCTACTAAAAATTTTACAATAGTTAAACTAAATAATTTGGTATATTATATTAATTATTAATAATCATACTAATTTATAGTTTACCTAGCCAGATCAATCTTCTACCTTAGCAAAATAAATAAATACTCTTATAATTATACTTTTCAACTTTATACGACATATTCTATAAGTACTCATTTTTTTGATTTAAATTTTATTTCCATATAATATTCTTATATTATCATTCTATTGATATTTTTTTCACTTTAGTGGATTTCAAATAAAGAATAACACTTTATAATTAACTTCAACTTTGTCTTATAAGTTATCAAAATATACATATTTTAGTAGAATCACTCACCTTAGTATATTTTTAATAACCCTATATTCGGTGATATTATTAAAGATTTCTACTGTTATAAAACAGTTTATTATTTTATTAGTTTATTATTCTGATATTGTATTTTATTATTTTATTTTATTATTATCATTTAGTCTTATTTAGTTATTATTATTAGAGTAGAATTTAGCAGACAAAGTAGTACGCTTAACAATTAATGATTAGCGATTACGCTTAACAATTAACGATTAGCAATTACGCTTAACAATTAACGATTAGCGATTACGCTTAACAATTAATGATTAGCGATTACGCTTAGCGATTAACGATTAGCAATTAACGATTAACGATTAGCAATTACACTTTACGCTTAGCTACAACGATTAGCGATTAGCTCTAAAGATATAAAAAGAATATAAATTTCCCCAAGTTAACGTTAAATCTGCACTGTCCATCTTTTAGAACCAGACTCCTCTCTTCCCTAAATTCTCTTTGTAATATTATAGGATTCTTTAGGAA